CACCAAATACATGTCAGTGTCCAAGAAATCAAGATGAAAGCTACATAGCATGAATGTTCAACTCGACGTATGCCTTTGCCCGTTCCCTGTTGTTCTTAAGCATCGACCTCGTGTTCTTGATGCTATGAACCTTGCGCCACCAGTTTTGACGCGACAGGGGTTTGGCATTGCCCTTGCGAATGTCTGCTATCCACTGCTGGAAAAACTCCTCGTTAGTTTCCGTCCATCCTGGCCAGCCATAACCCTGCTTGTCCCAAACGTCCGGAGGAGGGAACCACGAGACCGTTGTTGTCTGCTCGCCACGCCCTGTATATGAGGAATCAATTCACTATTGAAGACACTCACAGAAGACAGACCTTACCTGTATAGAGGCAGTATGTCCCACACAAACATGCAATCTCCTCACCAGTGAGGTCGTCATCCCAGTAGAAATACCCGTCGTGTTTAGACGGGACAAAGTACCCCGAATGATGCACTGTGACCTCGATGGACGGTCCTTGCAACCCAGACTCCTTACTACCAAATTCCCTTGCAATCCTCCCTACAATGCCACCGCGAAGTATTGCAGCTCGCCCTTGCGGGCGGCCCAGCAGCGCGCGGCACTCGAGCATAGCACTGTTGAAGTCTGCTGTCGTGAATTGGTGCTTGTTAAAACGGTTGGCGTTGTCTGCGTATGGGAGATTGAGCTGTTCGGGCTCCGAGGAGGCCTGCAGAAGGAGGGTGCGGAAGGGTATGTGGTGCTCAAGTAGGTGGTAGGCGATTGTCAGCACCGTATGCGTGTTCGGAGTGGAGGCGACCAGTCGACAGATGTAAAGAACAGTCGTGGGGCAATCAACACTGATGACCCATTTGCAAGAGGGGGAAGGAGGTAGCTTGAACACGTATAGGTCCTCACTGATGCGTTCCACAGTGTCGAGCGCAAAGGATGTTGCCAAAGGCTGATCCGATGTTGCGTTGAGGTCGTCGGAGGGTGCTGGCAATCCCGAAGAGCTGTCGATGAGGCATGAAATGAACTCGCGAATTAGAACCTTGTCTCGGTCTGAGACATCAGGTTCTGATTTTGTCCCGATGACACCCAGGACATCTGACCAACTCCGGAGGTTGGGTGCTTGAGGGTGGGGTGTTTGAGCAGTAGAGA